ATTTATTTATTTATTTATTTATTTTTTAAATCCAACTAACACTCATGATGCTACTTCTTCACGCAGGTGAGCCGAGCATTCAGAGACAAGTGTTTGTTTAGGGGAGAGATTGGCTGTTCAATAACATGTTGATCGGGCCAGCACCCCAATGAATTTTATTGACACTGATCTTTGGCACAAAAGAGAGCCTTGGGAAATCACGGGTAGAGCCACAAACCGGCCGGGCCCGCTGATGAATCTAAAATCAATGCCCCATTTGCCTGCATTTCCGAAGTATATGAAAGGCGTTTTGGAGAAAGGTGTGGGGTTCATAGGTCCCACAGTTACTTTTCAGCTTTGTGATAAGATATTTCTTATGTCATATTGATCGGACGCTGTTGAAGGAGGAGGGGGTGAGTCAACAGTAATGTGACAACAAAGCCATAAAATGGCCATCAGAGTAATGGACAGTCAGTTGGGGAAAGTTGCAAAGACGATCAAATACATCCGGCTGTTTTTATATGTTTTTTGTTTTAATTTAAATCGACTAAAAAGTGATATCGTTCAAATCGTTTCAAAAGTCGGTATCAGAGTGTATTTCCCATTCCTTTCGTATTGTAATTTACTTTGACAAACAAATATATATATATAAATTTAGCACGCGAGGGGATAACACAAGTGTCGAACACACAACTTTGATGGGAAGATCATACGTCTGCAACAACAAATAATTTATCTCTTTCCTTATTCGTCCCAGTAGACCTCAGGTGTTCCACCTGTCACACCAGAAATGGGACACCTGTTGAACATGCGGCCTGGCTGCTGTGCTGATGGGAGCGGCTTTCTGCGTCTGCTCGCTGTCTGTCGCTTATGCTGTCCGGCTCAGAGCCTGCTGCCTTTAACCGCCGTGGGTCTCACTGCGCTCCCGTGGCGACTACAGGTGGTGGTGTGAAATGACAGCCGCGGCGCATGGCATCTGGTCGTGCGATTCTCCAACAATGATTGCTCATTATGGATTCATAACGTCTATTTTTTTTAAATTTCTATAAAGAAGTAACTCTCAGCATTTTTATTAATTTCTCTATTTGTGCAAGTTTGGTTTCTTTGGATATAATGAAGTGAGACGCTTGTTAAGAGTTTGTGGCCCATGTGTGATTTGCTGCATTATTCACCATTTCATATTCACTTAAAGACTTCAGTAGGCCCCAAAATGAACACG